TTAACAATTCATTTAAATTGTGGGTTATTTCTTCTTCCTTCTCATGTGTGAGAAAATGTTTGGTCAAATGGCCAGTACCACCCTTGTTACAATAGGTAAAGTTTTTTCTACATTTTTGGCAAACTATTCTTTTCCCCTTCCCCTTAACATTCTCTATTTTAAATATTTTCCAAATCAGGCTACTAAACTTGGGGTTTTGGGAAGAGTTGGCCATTTTTTTAAATTCTAAAAAAATAAAATTAATTTAATTGGACTTACCTTAGATTGTCGGTTCAAAATCCCAACTTGATTTCAACGGTTAAAGCCTTTTAACCATTCAATGTAACAACGTCTAAGGCTCCAAGCCTCCCAAATTGCTAACTTGGAGAATCAGAATTCAGACAATCAGGCAATTAGACTATGAAACTATCAGAGTTCATTCAGATTATAGAGAATGTATGAGAGACTAAGAGAGACCGAGAGAGGGAAGACTAAAGAGATTAAGAGAATAAGAGAATTGTTGAATGTTGATTGTTGAATTGGTGTGATGAGAAGAATGGTGGAGGATAGGGGCCATACGACTAGTTTTCGAACAGGCCGAGCCTAACCCACTATGGGCCTTGTGGGCCGTGGGTGGCACGACACGAACAGTCGTGTCATGTCGTGCTGGCCCATGAACCTCAAACCCCCCGCCCAGCACGACACAAACCATCATGTCGGGCCTAGCACGGCCTGTGGGTTGTCATGCCGAGCCGGGCTAGTCCAACTTTGTGTCGGTCCAGCCCGATTTACACCTCTAGTTTCTTCTCATCAAATCTGGTTGTCTTTGGAAATTTGACTTCTTTTTCTATATCAGTCGTTCCATATTTGCACCATTAAGTGATTGTTGTTTCTATTTAGTTAGACGAGGAAAGGAAGGAAGGGAAAGGGTAAAAATAGAATTATAAAAGAGTTTAATGTTATATCTAACATTCCCATATTTTCTTTAATAGGTGCCTATTTATCTTATATGGGGTCATCTAATTATATATAAATAGATTTTGAAAGTTCAGTACATTTAAATAATTTACTAAACATAGAGGATGTATATAAGTAATTAACCCAATAGTCAATTGTCAAATTTTCATAACTTAACTCGTAAGAGTATAAGATATCCACACATAGACGAATTTCATGTGATATAGTTGTAGACATGAGAATTTTCTAAAGCCAAAGAATTGGGCTTAATTTACATAGTAGCCTATTTAAGTTAATATGGACATCGATGGGCCTAAAGCCCAAGTCTACATAAATATGATTTAGTAGATTAAGGATCCAAGTGTATTAAGTTTAATTTGGCCCATGTAAGATTCAAAGTATTGATACGTATCGATTGATATGTATCATTTTGGGACCTCCTCGATACGCCCTTAGAGTGGGTGTATCGGGGTTTTGACCAGTTCAAGGGGTGGAGGAGTCTTGAATTACCCCCTAAACCAGTTTTGAAAAATAAAAAAAAAATAAAAACTAAAATAAAAAAATAAAGTATCGATATCACCCAATACGCCCCTACCGACATATCAAGCATATCGATATTTTGAACCTTGGGCCCATGTCTTATTGTAATAGGGTGGTCCCATTAGCAAAACCACTAACTCCTATACAATGGAGCATGTATGGGAGTTAACCCTAACTTAACACCCCGCTTACATGGTATTGGTTAGCAAAGTGGGCTGAGGTGGTACCTTAATCCTAGGCTATAAATAGCCTTGTTTAGGAAGAAATAACTCTTTTTCACAATCACTTTGCAAGAATCTCTTATACACCAACACTTGAATATTACAAGCAACTACAATTTCTTGCAAACTCCAACAATTTCATGAAGATCAAAAGAGAAGGCCCTTCTTAGAAAAGCATCATTTACATCCGATCATGCATAAAGCCTATAGTAAATAAATATACATCAACTCTTCAGAAGCACTAAAATCAAGGAAATCTATATCAATATTTCAAGAAGTACGAGAAACACACCAACGGTCCTCATTTTCACTAAATTCAACCACTAATCAGAGGTTGCTCACGTCGTTGACCAAAAATCAAAAAGAGCTCAATTTCCTTATATTTTCTTTATTACAAGTTCACTTTTGTAATTTATCTATACATTTTGTGTTAATCAAATATACTAAATTTCTGTCGACAATGGTGATAATGTACTGGATTGTGAGGGAGTGCAATGGATTGTACAAGAGAACAAATGTAGGAGATCCGGACGCAATTCCTTTTTTTTTCTTGAATTTTCAGCATTTCTTTTAAAAACTCACCATAACCATCTATTAGAGCAACGTTAGTGTTCATTCACAAAAGTTGTCCACATCAACATAAATTTAATTTTTATCACTAAACTGCCTCTCAAAGGCAAATCAATCTTATTAAATGCAATTTTGCTCAATCAATAGCTAAATTCAAAAATGGCAGGGCTCCACCGCCCCCAGCTACCTCCCTCCTCTATCACACTTTGCACGAGAGTCTCCTGTTTGAAGCATTCTTCATCCAGCGTAGCGTGCCTATATGATCGATGGAAAAGAACCTTTTTCTTTTACGACTAGAAGACATCCACTCACTTGATTGGAGACATGAGAAGGGTTGTCGTTCTTCCACTACTGGAAGCATGGTTTTTAAAACCGGATTGGACCAGACGGTCGGATTGAAAAAATCAGACGATTAACTGTTTGAACCGTTTAAACGGTTTTGATTGTCTTTTTTTTTTAATTTTTTTATTTTTCTATCAGAATAGGTCAAACATTCGGTTCAAATAATTGGACCATTCAACTCAGTAACCGGACCCCTGACTAATTCGGTCACCGGATCGGTTTTAAAAACCATGACTGGAAGAGACCTCAGGCCATATCATTTTGATAGCTCAAGTTCAGAAATCCAGGACATTTCTTCTGATAACCAACCGGCATTGTATAATTAGAGGCACAAATACACCATAGAGGAAGTTCTATGAAGCATAGTGAAAGGAAACATCAATATGACAGTGAATCTACCCAGAGAAAACACCATGACCAGAAGGACATGGGAAAATGACGTACACAAGTATGAGATTAACGTCATTAATTTTCCTGCCCACCCTCAATTGGTGGATATCAGGATATGGGACAAAGTTCAACCTGAATTCATCAAAATCATTTACAAACCTTGCATGAGCTTTTTTACCTTTTTCTTCCTTTCCCTACCTTTTCCTTCAAATCAAACATAGCTTAACTGAATCAATTTCAAGATAAAAAGATGATCATTCTTCTCCCAATGCCTTCTGTGCACCCTACAAGACTAAAATCTCTACACTTAGATGCTTCCCAAAAAATGCTCATATCCATTTGGGAGGGCTTTCGTGTAGCAGCTTCTGGCTTTGCAATGTGTGCATGTGTCTCATAAAAAAAGCTTCAAAGTTGTATTTGGTAAAAAAAAACCTAAAAATATAACTGAGCTAAGAAATTGACTTTCCAATAAAACTAGTTTTAATAGCTTCTTCAAAGCAGCTCAGTCAATACAGCTTAATTGAAGCTGAAGCCTGAAGCCTTCCCAACAGGGGTGTTTGCAGGATTCTACAGGAGACATTAGCGACTTAAATGGAATGCATTATTTTAGCAGCCTAGTTGTAGTTATGGCCTAATACCACCTATAAAAATACATTAAATAGAGAAATTAAAATCAGAAACTTCTCTCACAACTGGAAGAGAGTCCTTTGGATCCAAGTTCTTACTCCTACCATGACCAACCTGTCAATTGAGCATCATGCGTGTGAATATTTTAAAGCATGATCGTGTGAGACCCAACATTAAAGAATAAAAACATTATTCAGGCTGAGTTTGTTTGTGTTGTAAAACATTATCGGTGTAAAATGTCACTTCCGGTTCAACTTGTTGGTGTTTGGATGCAGTGTAAAACATCCCTTCCGGTTCAGTTTTACATTGATTATCAATGTAAAAACTACACCAATAATCACATCGGTAATCGCCTTTTCTGAGCCATTGAAAAACATGAGCATCGAAAAATCAGTGTACCATTGCATCCATAATCACTTTTTTTGATGCTCATGTTTTTCAACAGCTCAGAAAATTTCAAACGATTCGGTGTGAAGCTCCATCAGTGGCGTTTTACATCGACAAGGTTTACACCACAAGCAAACACAGCATTGGGATTTCACCTAACAGATTAAGCCTATAGGTTGAATGGTTTTTTGACATGATATCAAAACCCCTTTGATCAAATGATCTTACATTTGACAGCTTAAGCTTCTAGTTTGAACAATTCCTCAGGTTTCAGAAATAAGAAATTAGAGCACACTATTGACGCATTTTTTTTTTATGGGAGAAATGGTCACCGATGAAAACCTTTCAAGCAAACATCCCACAGTCGCTTGTTTAGGGGAGAAATGCCCACAGTTGCGGAGTCACTCTCGAAGTCTACAGAAACAGGATTACTGTAATCGCTAAGCCAACAGGTTCACTCGAGCAACATGACTGCCGGACAAACCCAGAATTTGGTTTTCCCATTTTTTATCACGGAAGAGAAAGGCCTCCATTATGTGAATGATATCCAGTAATGCGCATCAAAAGCAGTCCGTTGCTGAGAAAAGCAGATAAGGGGGATTGCAGTCCAAAAATCCCTAAAATTCAACACACGCCAGTACAGCTTTTCAAGTACAAAATTTTATTTTGACTTGTGATCAGTCACGGACTGAGATCCACCATTTTTTTTTTTAAATTCTTGCGCCTTCACATGGGGTTTTTTCCATTCTGGTGCCTTCGCAACAGTAGTAGGTCAACTGCTGTAGAGAAGAAATTCCACGCCACAATATTTACAAGGTTGTATTTGTGAGCCCACAAGGTCACAGAAGATTTAACCGTGAAGTTCAATAGATTTTAACCATTAGAAATACACCAGAAGAGATTACAGATTCTTTCAAATATTCTGAAACAGAGAGCAAGGACACGAAATTTTCCACTAAAGCCAGTAGCTAATGCTCAGACTTCAAATTGGTAAATACCAAGTAACACCAAAGGCGTAAGTTAAAGGCTTAAAGCTCAATCTCAAAATCGTTTCACATTAAGAAACAAAACAGTGGGTTCTATGATCGAACCTTTACCATGCCATGAAGCATATATAAAAATATATGTATTTGCAGCAAGCAACTGCCCAATTCAACCGCATAAAGCAGGGAAAAAGGAAAAGAACCTAAAAAAGCTTTCCCAGTCTTGGCATTAATTAACCTATACAAGGATGCCCAACTGCCTGGTGTTCCCTCTGAAGTAAGGAGAAGTCGCTTCTGCCACTGCCAAAAATACCTGTCAGCAAATCAGATAATTTTCAAATTAAAATGCATCAGTTACAAGATCAAAGTTTTAGATTAGAAGAAAAAAAGAAAAGTGAAACACAATCAACCTTAAAATTGTGATGCATCTACTTCTGGCTCTTCTTCCACAACACCCCGATCTTCTTGAGCATGTTGTTCTTCTTCTTTGGTGAATCGTCATCAAGATCATCAGAAGAAGGTGAACCTATCTTCCCAACATGATGGTAACCATCCAAAGACACTGATCTATCCATAAATTTCCCATTGTTTCCAGTTGAAAGAACAGCAGCAGCAGCTTCGGCTGCCTTCCTCCACTGGTCTGACTGCACCTTCAATCTCCTTAGCTCTGCTTCCATTTCTGAATTTGCTGCCTGTGCTGCCTCCAGTTGCTCAACCACCCTTTCAACCTTCTTGCTGCTTTTATCAGCCTCCTCTGTTACAAAACTGAGTTTCAACAGAGCTTCTCGCTCTGCAGCCCTAGCTGCCTCTGCCTTGGCAATGGCCTCACCATACACCTTATTCCTTTCCAATTCCTTCTGGAATTCCAGGTTCAGCGTCTCATTCTCCTTGGATATGCTCTCTATTTCTGTCTCCTTGCCCATCAAATTTGCTTTCAGATCTGCAACATCAGACTTGGCCTTCATCAGTTCCATTTCCAATTCGGATTCTCTCTCTTTGCATTGGTTCTTCTCAATCTTAATATTCAACCCTTCATTTTCCTCTGAAATACTCTGCAATTCAGTTTCCTTGTCCATCAACCTTGCCTTCAACTCTTCAATAATGGCTTTACTTTTCTTCAGTTCTGCCTCCAATTCAGCTTCCTTCAGGGAAAATTCAGATTTTGTTTTCTCAACCAGTTCATAAGCAATTTGAATCTGCATTGTGCTATGGATATGTTCTTCCTGATGCCTGATCTCAGCAGCTTCTAAGGCAGACTTTAATTGTCCCACCTCCAACTTCAAGGAATTAAGCTCCATATTGAGTATATCTGATCCTATTATCTCCTCATGTTTTCCACTTTCTTCAAGTTTACTAATATCTGAAGGATGTTCGCCACTAGCATTAGCCAGCTCTGCCTGAAGTTTGCTCACTTGTCCTTCAAGCGAACTCACTTGACACTTAGAAAGCTCCAACTCTGAAGTCAATGAACTGTAAGCTTCCATTGCTTTAAGGCTATCCAACTTAAAAATCTCCATAGTTGACTTGGCTGTTTCCAGTTGCAATTGAGTTTCACTAACCAATCCCTGGGCTTTGGCCTCAGATTCTTTGCAATCTTTGAGCTGAATTTTCATATCCTCAACAACAGAAAGAGTTTCTTCGAAGTCCTGTTTCATACTCTGGAGCTCAGCCTCTGATGTTTCTGCAAGCTCGATTTGGGCAGCCTCGGAGTCTGTCACCATTTCCAGTTGCATCTTAAGCCTCTGGATCTCACTCATAGCAGAGACCAAGGCCGTTGAGTCCACAGAGTGCTGCTTCTGAACAGCCTCAAGCTCAGACTGCCATGCCCGATCCCGCTCCTGAGAGATCTTACGGAGCTCTTGGAGACGGGCTTCTTCTGATGCAGATAGATCTAGAAACTGCTGCTGGGACTCCTCAAGCTTCGTGGTTGTGGCTAAAAGCTGCTTCTTTGTCTCTTCTGCCTCTTGCTGGGCTCGCCTCTTCAATGTCTCAGATGAAGTCAGCTGGTCCTTCGCCTTCTTGAGATCTTCTTTCAGTTGAGCAAGCTGAGATTCCAATTCAGAAACTCTGCTTGGCCGCTTCTTCTGGAGTTATGGAATCAGAGAGTAGTGGTCATGGTCTATTGACTATGTCTTCAGGTTGATGAATAGAAATTAACAAAGCAAAGTTAATTTACATGGTAAGGAAAATAGGAATATATATCAACCCTAGGGGCAGACAAAAAAGGACATGGGTCAAAGTAGGAAGAAATTATTCAAGCACACATAAAACAACAGATATTGCACTAAACAGAAAGGAATGAAAAAACAGGATTCATGTAACCGACCCCATAGAGTTGGGATGAGGCTTAGATGATGATGATGCAGTAACCATTAGCAAATAAAGTACCTCAGTTATGGGGCTTCTGGGTGACCTGCGCTCAACAACTTTGGGGCTTCTATCTTTTGGTGTCCTGCTAACAGGTGTTGTTGAAGAAACTGAATCAGATTCAGATCCAGTTGTCTTGAGTTGACGAGCAGCTCTAGGAGTCCCTGGTGATGTCCTCTGAGGCACCTCCGATGAACCACTTCTGTTTCCAGGGTCAGTGGATGAGTGAAATGATTATCAGTATTATAATATATAGCAAGCTCTGAATGGACATGAAGGTCTTCAGAGTGGCAATCTAGAAATCAAGTTCATGTCTTCGAAATCACATGAAAAGATTTATTATATAGTAAATCTTAATACAGTTGTGGCACATGATTTTTCTCTTGGGATGAATGAATGGGGTTATAGATGCCTTTTCTCATACATACGCTACAATTATGTGTCAAGTAGGTCAGATGTGAGTGGACATACAACCTCAAATACAAACAAGTCTTGTTTGAATGTTATTGATGAGCTGATCAAAATACTGTTCAATGCCCACCCAGAAAATGGCACTACAAAAATGCATAACTTGCATGGCAGAATTACAGAATATGACTAAAACCTACTGAAAATCTTAAGCATCATCACGTGTGCATAACTGCAATTATTAAAGCATATCAACAATACAATGTAGTATGCAAAATTTTCTCAATAGTTGGATCCAAGGCATCCTCTAATATTCTAAGCTAAAGGTAAAAACCACCCTATTCTGGTTACCAGCTATACAGAGAATGTTGAAGAGTCCATCAAAAAAAAAAAAAACAAACAAACGTGATTCAGGGAATTATGAAAAAGCTAGTAATAACTGTTAGAAAATAAAGACCTAGGTACCTCTCCCAACAGCTTAAGCTTTTAGGTTGAATGGTTCTGTGAGATGGCATAAAAGCCTATTTGACTAAGTAGTCTAGCGTTCGATCTTTGCCACCCCCATCATAATTAATTAAAATTCAGCACAAGGTATAGTGGGCCTTTCAAACCTAATGGGCCTTCACATGAGAGGGCATGTTAGAGAATAAATACCTATTCAGGTACCTCACCTAACGGCTTAAACTTTTTAGGTTGAACAGTTCCTTGAGTATTTTTAGCTTAAGATTATTTGGAACGGAACCCCACTTGCCTATTTCTGGTTCCTTTTATAGGGGCATACAGAGTTCAAATGGAGACATGAGATTTCCACTGTTTCCAAAATTGAAAGAAACAAAGGAAATCCAATTCAGACTATATCGGGCGATAATGCTGTTGAACTGTAGCTCGACCTTGAAAGTTCTACAAATTCTTTGTCTATTTAATAGGATAAAACCAAGCAATAAGACAAATACAAAATTATAAGAGGAAACATGTAAATGAAAACAAAGGGTAAAAGGCCGGATAATCCGAATCAGAAAGGAGCAAAGGAGCATCAATCCTTAATTTCCAGTGTAATTGATAAAGCAATCGTAGTTAAAAAACAAAAGCGAACACCTTCAGGGTTCAAAGGATAAAGAGTCTACAGGCCAGGGGCTTTTTCTATGTTAGATTTCTCAAATTCCTAGTATCTAAAGTTACATTCTTTAAGTTGATATTGACCGATTATTATCTTAAAAAGTGCCAAACCATATTGAACTCAAACAGTTCCTTCTTAAATACAATAGCTAGATTCCACAAAACAGCTTCCTCAAAGCCTTAAAACAGGAGAAAAAAGTCAAAAAGAAGAACAAACTAGGTTTTAAAATTACCTTGCTTTTGGCGTCTGCATATTTTACCACCCCCTCTGGTAACAGAGTTAAAAGAAGAAAGCAATCAAAATCCACTTAGTAAAAGCGCCCTGACCCACAACTCCTGCAACAGTTCAGAGAAATCACAAATTGTTGAAAGATGAAGCACAAGAATCCGATGTTTACGCACATGAACAAATAAATGACCGGAGCAGCCCTCGTAAGTAAATTATAGAAACCGAAATAAACAACATGATTCCTTCAAACAAACTCCATAGAAACCACCACCACTCCCACCAAACCACACCACAAAGTAAATAAACTTCACTTTCAGAGGACCAGATGAAAAGGGGGAAGACTTCATTTTAGAGGAAGACTCCTCTCTCTCTCTCTCTCTCTCTCTCTATGGTACTCACCAAGTTACCATGCTGAAAACTCATTGTTGTGACCGCGGTGGCCGCGGGCGTCTACGGCTACCGAAATGCGATGGGCAACTTGAATTACCCAAAAAGCCAAAATTGCCCCTAGTAGCCGCGGGCGTCTACGGCTACGGAAACGAGACAAACAGGGTTATTTTGTTCGTAACTAAGGGCATTCTTCGTAATTTGAAAAAAGCAGAAGACCAGGAGAACGAAAACCTGACTAGTGACTGGTGTCCAGTGCCTGAATTCAAGCTACCCGACCCAACCAAACCATAGTTCCCTTGGTTATCGCAAGAAAAGACAACCGCTAACCGCTTAAACCGTCCGATGCTTGAAGAAACCTCGCCGAGAAATGATGGTTCTCTTCACTGGTCGGTCACTTCCGATATCACGGCTGAAAAAAATAGAGAAAAACCTCGATGAAAACATGGCTCTGGAGAAGAGAATATAAGCACTTTTTCGTCGAAATCTACAAGAATGACAGAGGAAGATTCTTCACCGTCAATTGCCCCACTCCAGAACAGCCACGACCACCGTAAATGGGAGTTTGTCACCGATCTAAACAAAATAAGAAGAGAAACGATGAAGAAATGAACGGATTCAAGTGTTTCGAAAGTAAGAGCAGCTCAAACTTTAATAATAAGGCATCGTTCCTTATCTTTCTTAAGGTTTTATATCAAATAAAACTTTCCACAAAAATACAAACGCGGAAAAGGAAACCGGAGGAAGAAGAAAATATGAAATAGCTTTTCCTCAAACGAGTTTACTGTTTAAACCAACAAATCTGTGAAAAGCCTGCAACCTTCAAGCTCTAAAACTCTAATACAAGCCGGCATTATCGTTCGATGCCGTAACTTTCCCTGAGGATCAGATCTCCTTGGAAAAGAAGTTCAAAGGGAATCATTGAGACCAAAAAAAAGCAGCTCAGAGTTGAGAAACTCATAGCTCCCACAAGGAAAACACATATAATCCAGCGAAACAGAGATTGGAAGCATTTCCGCCGCCTTAAAACCAGAAAATGGCGCAAACACCTGTAACAATACCAAATATGAATCAGAATGGAGCACTTGCATTTATCCTTACCGGCAGATCTATTCAACGAGAGGCCGTCGGCTTGTTCTAAGCTACTAAGGATTCAGTCCAACCAAAAAAACCCTGGGGTTTTTGGATGGAACGAAGGGGGCTGTGACAGTTCCAAGCAAACGTAACTTCTTCTTCTTCTTCTTCAACCTTCTTGTGCGTCTGTGCTCAGTTCTCGAGGCTATCTCTCGAGTCTCTCAATCTCTCTCCTGCTCCGTAACAATAGACCAACGACTGAGCCGTATACGGTGGAAGAAAAGAAAAAAAAAAGATGGAAGCGTGATTTTGTCGTTTTATCGTCTATCTAGTGGATTATTATGTTAAATTAATCAAAAATCGTTGGTTTGCGTCGAAATTTAATTTTATTACTAGAACGTAAGAGTATTTACAATAACAAACAAAAGAATTGAATAAACTCCAAAAAGACCCCTTAACCATAGGGAGTGCCTCACTTTAGATGTCTAGTGCAACTTGGGCCGGATTGGCTCAAGGCCGACCAAAAAAATATCGGGTCGGGGTGAAGTTCGAATTAGGATTAAGAAATATGAATTCAACCTAACTTTAGGGTTGGATTAGGGTCGAGGCCTTCTTCATTTCGATCCAATTTGGCCCCAGCTTATATGTATAAATATTATATAATTAATTTTTTAGGTCATTAATTGAATGTATGAATGTAAGTAGGTACATGCATGTAACTTCTATGTTATATTTACATAAATGACAATATAATTACCAAAAATAATAAATATTTACAATTTTAATTACGGAAAAGATTTTTTTTTTTTTTAAAATGATAACTATGCCCTTTTAATGCTAAAAAACAAGAGTGATTCTCAAAAGAAAGCATAGAAGTTGGGCCAAACCAAAATTCAATCTAACCCCAACCCAACTTAAAGCTTTTGGGTTTAGTTAAAGTTAGGATTGGATTGGAATTGGACGCAAGGTTCAAAATATCGATATGCCCCTATGTATTGGCAGAGGCGTATCGATACTAAAAAAGCATGTGCCTTTATATATTCTTTTAGCTTTTTTTTTAAATTGATTTTTGGGTAGGTTATTATATATTTTTTTGTTTATTAAAAAAAAAAGAGAATTTCCGAAACACCTACGACCGATATGGGGCATGTCTTCTTGAAATTTTGATCCATGATTGAATGTTGCACAGGTCGAGTTAGGTTAGGGAGGGTTAACCTCAATCAACCCACCCCGGGCCCAACTTTCAACCCTATTAGACTATTATTATACGAAGAAAAGCTTAAAATGCCCCCTAGTTTTACAAGTTCATCAATGTTCATAAGAAAAATGGAAAATGATGGTACCACCCACCCATGTTGGTTTGCCACAATGTGATATGGAGTTTTCTTTTTCTTTAGATTTATATTTTCATTGAGAAAGCCTCTACTTTTAATTTAAAGTCCAAAGGCCATATACAGCTCATTAGACATAGAGTTATATTGACTGACCTGCTTTGAAGAAATTATTAATTTAATATAATTAATTTTATTGGAGAGTTGATTTCATACCTGAATTAAACTTACTTGGGCTTTCTAAGATTTTTCACCAAACATAGTCTCTAGGCTTTTTATATGGCCCCATCTTGTAAAGTTAGAGGCCAGTGTATAAAAACCTTCCACAATGTGAGATATATCTGAATTCAAATTCGATTAATTATTCGATAAGAATAAAATATTTAAATTTGACTGATTAAATATTCCAATTATTCGAATTTGATTCGATTTTATTAATTATCAAAGTTAAAATCGAATTTTCGAATACTAGTCGAGGGGTTTTGATAAATACCCGATTGATTATAAAACTTAAAAAAAAAAAAAGAAAGAAACGCGACGACCCAATAGAGAATGTTATTTGGTAGGCACGTAAAAGTTCGGGCGGGCATTTGAAAGTTGAAACTTTTCGTGGTTCACTAGCGAATGCAAGTGTAGAGAGACACCTGTCATAGAGCAAATGCAAGCGCGAACAAGTCCAACGGATCCCCGGCTCACCGAATCGACTTTTGTCTGGTCAGATCGTCAGAGTGAGTAGTGACCTCTTTTTTCATTTCTTTATAAAGCCTTACACACCATTTGATTTCGTGTTTTTCAACCATATCGTATTACGGTAGATCGATAAACAAGAGCGGATTGCTGGAGACTGGATGATCATTAAACGACTTTAACTTGTGGGGCCAACTGGATGATCACTAAAACTAATTTGGCATCGACGGGGGCATGCAATTACCGAAGAACTCTTCAGTCTTCACCCTATTGTCAACAATACATCAACATGTATTTTCTGCATCAAATATCAAGACGAATCGTGTCGTGTCACTTCTATGACAAAACTTCTGCCGCAGAATATCGGAACAAAGCAAAATGCTACATCACTATCTCTATTCTCATCCAACGGTTTAACTGCACGGTTTCTTTCACAGAAAGTGGCCAGAGAAACCGTACATTGGCGTCTAGTCTCTAGTGTTTCGTCCATTGTGTAAAAACATCATATAGCCTAACGACGTAACAAGTATGGCTACGCATCCTTTAAATTTTACCGCCTTTGCTATTTTACAGATTTAAAATCCGCGCGTATCCTTTCCTTGCGGTTGGTGTCCGATGCAATGTTGTAAAAACCGACTCGGAGGCCGAACGGTCGAACCGTTTTTTTTACCTGGGTCGCGAATCACCGGTTTGACCGTATGGGTCAAATGAATCACACGCAAATTTAATTTTAGTTTTTAATTTTTATTTATAGAAATTTTAAAATTTGCGGTTTTAGGCAAAGAAAGGGTTTTCACATAAATAGAATGGCAAAGGACCGACCATGTACGAGATGTATAATCGGAAGTTTGGTCTTCAAAATTTTGTATACATGTTTAGTGTGCAACCTGTGACCTAGTCATTGGGTCAATGGTCTATCTTGCTCAGTTGGACAATTTTTTTATCCCGTTAACAATTTAGACCAAATTTTGGATTTTACTAAAATTAGACCCAGAATAATGATTGGATGATGGTTTGAACAGTTCAACCAATCAAGTCAACAACGAGCTGAGAACACTAGTGCAATAAGAATAGGGGCATAGTGACCTGCTAGATTGCTACTAACAAAACACTCCCAACACTATATCAACCGGCCACTGCAAACATGCATTGGGAACATCTCCCTTGTCATTCATGAAAAAATATTCCCAACATGTGGTTGCAATGGCCAATTGGGACATGTTGGGAGCGATTGGGTGGTAGTAGATACGAACTCGTGTGATGGTTGAAAACGTAGCTTTATAAGTGCAATTTTTGGAGGGCTTTCAAACATTATTGTTGGGATCTCTTGCTAATAAAACATGTTTCAACACCTTACCATTCACACAGCCTATACAACCTTGCATTATAAATATCTTCGTACTTATATGTTTTTTTTCAGGGGAAGATATTCCCAATGCAAAGCTGTAAAAGGTTGTATTAACGATGTGAGCACTGAAGCCGATATCAGGCTTTTCAACCATGTACGGGATATGCAATGTTAGACCATACGGGTAGTGATGTAACCGTTTTTGGTCACATACCATTTTTTGGGATGTGTAAAATTTTTTGGCTAAGTACCTCGTGTTTGACCTGGTGGTGACGTGCCTTGGTGATGAGCTACTTGGTGGCGAACTTCCCGGGGGAGAACTGCCTGGTG